ATGTTTATGTCACCATTCAATAGAAAGCCTTGGCTTTGCTTTTAGAGGTGGTGATTCAGGTTCATCCCATAGGGATCTGGGGGTATTTAGGCTTGTCCGTATGCTCCACCTCCAGGGCATTGTGAAATGGCCTTACATATTTCAACCATTTGTTTAAGGATCATAGTTTAAAAGCTTGGGGCGGGGAGTAAGGGGTAAGAAAAATACGATAAATTGTTTTTAGAATTGCCAAAAGGGAATACAAAATACAAACCAAACAGATTCACGTTGTTTTCTTTTCTATATGGGGTTGTCGAAGGTTGAATTTGACATTTTATCACCTGGTCGTAAGCTGAGTGAGATCCTCTGAGGTCTAATCTGAACCACGTCCTGCTGGGTCAAGCCGGACCCCTTGGAGCTCAGAGGCATGTTTTGCTGCACCGTGATGCTGCTAGTCGGATATTCGACAACCCGGCTCTGGCAGCCCCTCTTGTGCAGATTTTGAACAAAGTCGCAGCGTGACGTCAGGGTGCGCCCCCTCCCAAAATCCTGCGTTACAAACGCCGAAAACAACACAGTAATAAGTTGTATCACCAATGCAAATATGATTCCTAAAAATAATAGTGACAAATTATACAGTACCTCTTGTGCGCACCAGGCGCAACTGGGGTGAATCAGGAGGCATTCTTCACACGAAGTTGCGCTGCCACTCATACACACATTAAGACCTAAAGGAGAAGTAGTGTCGACTGTAGTGTCAGAAACAAATTATGGTACTGGAATTGAATTCTAGTGCAGTGATACTGCTGTATGACTCCATCAGGAGCCTAGAACAATTTCCCAGTACAATACTTCCATTGTGAAAGCTAATCTTTAAACTTTTATTGACCGGGTGTCCGGCAGATATTGTTGGACGTTCTGGAAGAGTGCACATTAATCCTGGTGCTGATGACCACAGTTGTTAGTAGCAGTGTATTGGGCTGACTCACATGAGGATAGGTGAACTCATTTGAATGCATGGCTGCTATGAGGCATGATGTTTGACACTAATTAAGCATTTGGGGGGGTTGTATTTGAATAATGGCGAGCCTGCCAGCTAACGACAGGTCCAGAGTACGCAATGCAGTTCACCGTCAAAATTAAAAATTAAAATTGACCCGAGCAACAGACGATAAGCACCACCATCTGTTTCTGAATTTCCACCACGTATGTTTTTTTTAAACTAAGAATTAAAACGAAAATGTTATCTCCTTGGGAGGCAAATTGCGCCAAAGCCTCGATATTCAAGCCATTTACAGTTTTCTCAATCGCTCGGTCTTCGCCCAATGACGAATTTACTGACAACGTTTGTGCGTTTGCTACCCGGAAATAACGTAGGATGTTTAAAGGGTTTACTGTGTTGGAACAGAGATTCTGACACTGGTGTCGCGAAATAAGGCAACCAGATAATTGGGTTGATCTTTCGGTGACATTTAGTGCAACATTTACATTTCTGTCAGTGTCAATCAAAAGTGAGCATCTTTCCAAATTATTTTATTTTGCACAGTTGTTCAGATTACGCCGAATTTTCGGTCTCCACCTTAACACAATCGTTTACCGATATTACAAAAACTAAAATATATTATGCTTTTTTTTCATGACGCAATAATGTCATCGTTTTACCTGTAGATGTGTGCAGGAATGTGTGCAGCAGCAAGCAGCAGACAGCAGCTCTCCACACGCGTGTCGCCGGGGTCCACATGGCGTCACTCGGCGTGTTTACGGTGCAATCACCCCCTCCCCTCACACCACCCTGAAATCGTAGCTCGCAGCAGCCCGACCGTCAGAACCTCTCAGGACTGCTTCCGGTCCAGCTAGTCGACTGTTTACACTTCATGGCGACGAGTCGTGCGCGTCAACGACAGGTTGCCATTGTTGATCCGCTCCTCGATTCACTTGTGACGCCTCGGGGAGCTCGTTTCCACGTCCCCGTCTGCTTCAGCCATGCAGGCGGCTGTCGAGCCGCTGCGTGGATTTCATGTCGGTCTCGCGCAAACAGTTTTGGTTTTTTTTTTAGACAAGCTGGAAGCAGAGGCTGCAAGGCGTCAAATCTTAATAGGAGCTGCACATCTCCAAAGTTGATGGTTCAGATGTGATCTCGCTCACTTGGTCGGCGTCCCAGCTGAGACTCCACCTCTTAACCCCCTCCCTACTCGACAGGATTTGTTAACCCGTCAACCCGACAAGCTAACAATCACTGTGCTGACACCTGCTGGTGGGTTCGAGAGAACGGGTCTTTACGAGCATTCGATGAAAGGATACAATTGGAATTCCCTATGACCCTTTGTTGTGTTTCGACGCCCGCATAATATGTTTCAGGTCCGTTTTTACCCCAAGAATCTCATCATAATTGCTTAATATTGTTTTATTTCAAACCGTATGAACAACCTTCCTGACATAAATAAAATAGTGATTACTCAATAAAAATAGTGTTTTTGTTTCACTGGTATAGTATTGGATTTAAACAAACGTAGTCTGTCATATTGCTCCACAATGGTTTTAAATATTATGAAAATGAAGGAAATATTTTTGCAAACAAGAAGTGCAGAGGTTTTAAAATTTAAAACAGGAACAAATATCCATCCATCCATTTTTCGATCCGCTTCATCCTCACAAGGGTCGCGGGGTGTGCTGGAGCCTATCCCAGCTGTCTTCGGGCAGTAGGCAGGGGAAACCCTGAACCGGTTGCCAGCCAATCGCAGGGCACACACAGACGAACAACCATCCACGCTCACACTCACACCTTGGGACAATTTAGAGTGTTCAATCAGCCTGGCATGCATGTTTTTGGAATGTGGGAGGAAACCGTAATACCCAGAGAAAACCCACGCAGGTATGGGGAGAACATGCAAACTCCACATAGGAAGGCCGGAGATGGAATTGAACCTCTGCACTGTGAGATCAACGCGCGAACCACTGGCCCACCGGTTCGCCATTACATATATCCACTGCCAAAAAACCCAACTTGTTTCTCTCGCCTATTTCCATCCATTTGGTTTTTGACCTGATAAAAACTCCTTTAGTCATGTTAATACCATATTGGCCCGAATATAAGACGGTCTTTTTTGCATTGAAATAAGACTGAAAAAGTGGGGGCCGTCTTATATTCGAGGTCTAGACATTATACCCATTCACGACGTTAGAAGGCGCCAAATATCATTGAAGCGAATGCTGAACTTGACTCCCCAGGCCAAAGTGAACCCCTGCCACGAAGAATAAAAATAAAAATAGCGGTAGCACGAAGAAGAAAAATAAAAAATAGCGGTAAGAAGGAAAAGAGAAGAAAATAATAGAAGAGACAACAGAAAATGGAGAAACGTAGTGACAATCTGGAGAAAAGTGGGTCGAAGATCGGCCAGGTTAACCGGCAGCTGAGGAGAAGTTATGATGTAATTTACATTTCAAACACCAGAGGCCATTCATTTACGAATGTGATTGCACTTTAGATTTGAATGAGGCAAACTAACATGCTTTTTCTCTCAAATATATTGTTATAATCATTTGTTTGAGATGTACTGTAATTATTTTCTGTATAAAAATTAATTTGGTGTTCAAAAAGTCGTTTTTTCAAACTTGAGTCTTGAAAAAGAGGGGGTCGTCTTATAATCAGGGCTGTCTTATATTCGGGCCAATACGGTATACGCAATATCTCTTTCCTCTTTTCATTTTGCAATTCAATCTCTTCCCCCTCTGATAGATGATCTTTTTCCAATCAAGAATTTAGTGCATTCACGATACTGTATCGATTTCTTTAGTTGAAGTAGCTTTTTAAATTATTTACTTCGTCTCATTACTATTTCTTTAACTTTGCTATTTCCCCCATTCCAATATTCTGGAGTACCTTTGCTGCAGTTTTCTTGACCACATTACACAATATTTTGATCATTAAACAAGTTATTTAATTCCAGAAGCCACGTAATCTATATATTTTTTGTTTAGAACCAACTAAAATAATAGCAATAAATTTATGATCAGATGGTGGCACAATATCATGAAATTATTCCAAAATAAATTGCAAATACGATGGTGAAACTAACCACAAAGCAATTCTTGACTGCGATGATCTACGAGCATTACTCCAAGTGTACGCTTTTCTATCGGAATTCAAGAATTGCCTTACGTCTATGACTGGCGGTTGTTCGCTCATGAAAGCAGTGCTTTTAAATCTTTTGTATTGATATGTTGTTGATAATCGATCTATAAGATCATCAGAAGCATCATTAAAATCTTGTGCCTCTTTATATTTTACTTTGAGGGTTTCAAATTTTACACATAGCTTTGTGCACATGGCTTTGGCTTGATTTTTATTGTCCTGGCTGTACAAATTGCAAAGTAAAGAAGGTGTTACCTAATTTGAATTATCCACCTACCCTCATCTGAAAGAAGTCTCCAAAGTATTAGCTTTGAATTAGTTAAACAGCTACCCCTGCTGATTGCTGTGAAGCATGACAAAAACAACATGGATTATTCCACTGTGATTGACAAAATTTCACATCATTTACAGGTCAATGAGTCTCAAAAAAAAAAATAAATAAAAAACCTGCATTTTTTTTCTTCAGAACATGAAAATAGCTTTCCTTTTCGTGTTGTCACAGATACCTCGAATATGAAGGAATATAACTTTTAAGGAACTGAAATGCATATTTGCTACTTTGATTAAAAAAAAAAGCAGAGGAAAAAAAATGCTAATTGGATGTCTGTAAAATATAGTAACTTATTAGATGCTTGATAAAAACATGGAGATACTTTAAGAAACTGAAATATTGAGTAACTAAAAAAAACTTTAAAGTGAATTTGAACTCAACTTATTCGAAACAAATATCTTATTCTTGTTTGAAAGTCAGCTGTCAAGAGGAGGAACATGCTAAATAAATGCTTAACTCTAGGATATCGAGAAAAATGTTGAATACTGAATTCAAAACACCTTAGTAAACCATTCATTTCCAGCAGCGTGTCTCACGCCATCAATAATGGCTACAGAGTCAATCCATTTTGATTTTAATGGCAAGAAAAAACAAATGGAGCAGCATACAAACTCTTTTAACACAGCTATATGGGAACGTAACAGCATACTGGCAGAGGAAACTCCTGAAAGCATAAACAGTCATAACACAAATGTAACGCAACCCAGTGGCATCAGCGCCAAAATTGAACCAAATTTATAAACAACTGGTGAATTCAAAACCTTGTGGATGGATAATGACTTTCAACGGTCAAACATAAATGTCTTTTTTTTTTTTTGTCAACCAAAAGTTTTATTGAGGAGGCATCACATTCGCTGGCTTGTTAATGAGGTTGGATGCTATTTGCCTGATAGTGCTGAGGGGCAGAGGGCAGAGGTCAGCTTGGTAAATGTCCCACAGCTCCTGTAAAGCGCTCAGAATGTTGCGCTTTGCCACGCCCGGGTGGAAGCGCTTCAGCTCAGCCATCAGGGTGTCGTACGCGGCCATGGTGCCATACTGCTGGGACACAAATGGTGCCCTTGGTTTGGGTGTGCTGCTAACCCCCAAGCTTTTCTGGACACAAAGCACAGGCTCGGTGGTTATCCCCAAAAATAGGAAGAACTTCACCATAATTTATGTCTTTGCAATCTAATTGCAAATGAAACATGAGATGTATTCACAATACCCAGCACACACTGCCTAAAATCATTCCAAAAAGTAAAGATCCCGATTTGCATATTTCCTTAAGAAACCAGCTCAATCATCACTTCACTGGCTGAAAATCAGTCCTATTAAAAAAAAGAAAACACTGTCCTCTGCTGGCTATAAAGAAACAGACACTTGCATCAAAACCATAGGGCCCAGCAGTGTTGGTAAAACAGTAAATGGGCTGTCGACCTTCGGTACTCAAAGCGCTTCATCATTTACCAACTGACGACAGTATTGGGAGCAACTGGGGATTTGTCTTTGTTACATCATTGTTGGCCTCTCACATAGGCATACAAAGGGAGTTTGGCCATTTCTACGCTGGAAAGGAAACGAAAATACTCATGCTGGCTTAGCGCTAAATAGCAGTTTGACAACAAAGCGGATGGATTTAAAATTGGTTCAAAAGGGATAAACGGTTCAGAAAATTGATGAATGGACGGTGGTATGGAGAAAAAAAACATCACTACAATTTTTATATCAGCATGTCAATTTTAACATAATACCGGTAATCTACTTCAACATCATTTTTTTTTCAAATTGTCCCTCAGTGTAATTGAAGCAACGGGAGTTGACGCACCTCATTCACATTGTTGGCTATGTTAGGAACACCAAGTCCAGAAGCCATTTCCTCTTCCTTGGACAATTCTGTGGCAATTCCCAATAAGTTAAAGATAAGACAGGAAATCCATCAAGATGGTGTTTATTCACAACTGCAAGGCCTCAAATTGTATATCTTACCATTTGACATTTCCTCTGACTCTTCTTTCCCTTCAGCAAACACTGAGACTGGATAAAGGTCTTCCTCAGCGTCATACCACACCTCACTCGTGTTCAGCTCTTTGCATGCACCTGTTGTCCAAGGCCAACGACATACCACTCAAACAACCAAAGGTCTGAAGTAAATCTGCAAATTTATACATACACACACACACACACACACACACACACACACACACACACACACACACACATATATATATATATATATATATATATATATTGCATACTTTACTGCAATCGTGCTAGGAACTAAGTTGTCTGAGGCTTCATGCCCCTGTCATAGTCATCCATGGAAAATAAGGCCTAGATGAGGGACCAGACAATGCATGGCTCAGAACCCCAATGATTAATCTCAATTGGGCAATGATTTCCTTCGCCTGTTATCTGTTCCTACGCGCCAAGCAGCAGCTCAGACACCAGCCTATTAGCACCCTTTTTGGAGCCCTTGGAGGTTCTGTTCTGGAAGTTGTGGGGCGGAATTGATTGGCATGACTCTGTAACATTGCGTGGACATCTAAGATCGTGCTTCTGGATTGGCCGATTGGGGTGGTGGCCCCCTTTTAAGAAGGGCAACCGAACGGTGTGATCACATGCCTCAAGCTGGATTTAATCTTGGCTGTGGAACAGGGAACCATCTTTACATCCTTGGTAGGATTCTGGCGCGTGTAAGGGAGTTCGACCAATTAATCTACACGTATTCTGTCGAGTTGGACAAAGTTTTTGACCATGTCCCTCAAGGAATCCTGCGGTGGGTGGGTGGATAATGATTACGGGAACCCCAAATACAGACTGTTCGGTTCCTGTACGGCAGATGTCAAGAGTAAGTCTGGTTTGTTTCCGGTGAGGGTTGGACGTCGCCAAGGCTGCCCTTTGTCACAAATTCTATTCGTAACCTTTATGGACATGCAGTCTCTCGGGGCAGTCAGGGAGTTGAAGGAGCTGAGTTTGGTGGCCATAATGTTGCATCTCTGCTTTTTGCAGATAACGTGATTCTGTTGGCTCCATAAAGCTGCTATCTTCAACTGTTGCTGGAAAAGTTCGCAGCTGAGTATGAAGCAGTAGGGATGTGAATCACCATCTCCAATTCTGAAACCATGATCGTCAGTTGCAAAAGGGTGAAGTTCTCTGCGGGTCAGGGATGAGATCCTGCAAGTGGAGGACTTCAAGTGTTTTGTTTGAAAGTGAAGAAAGAAAGGAGCGGGAGATGGACAGACAGACTGGAGCATCATCTGAAGCTCTGTATTGAGAGGACATAGATGAGGTGGCTCAGGCAGCTGATTAGGATGCCTCCTCGATGCCTCCCTGGTGAGAAGTTCTGGGCATGTTCTAATGAGAGGAACCCTTGGGGACCCCTGAGGACACACCACACTGGAGTGACTGTCTCCCAGGTGGCCTCATGCTTCAGGATCTTCACCGAAGAGCTGGATGAAGTGGCTAGGGAGAAAGTCTGGGCTTCCCTGCTAAAGCTGCTAGCCGACCCCGGATAAGCAGAAGACAATGGATGGCCGAATAGCATACCTGATTGGTTTTCTTCGGGAGTGTTTGCTTTAAAGGTGACCCCGTTCTCCCAGGAGATGGGCATGCTGGTGCTTCTGGATTTGCCCCAGTCCACCCTGGGATTTCTCTGAGCATCATAGAAAAGTTAAACATTGTTAATAGGAATATGAAGTTAAACATTTTCAATGACGAATATTGATGTCTTTGTAATATTGTGATAAATATATTATTGGATACACATGCACAACCAAGTAGGGTTGATGGCTGAATGGAAAGGGGATTGTATTATCGTGAGGCATGTTAAGGTGTTCAGCGTTTTCAGGTAGTGCACATTGTATCTCTTTGAACCATTTTTTTTTGTCATAACGTGGATGTAATACATTCCAGTTCTCACCTGGTCACAATCTAGAGTCAAAGGCTTGAGGTGATCCAGAGGAATCCCTGCCAGAATCTTATCTCTCATCTTCGTGTAGTCAGATTCCAATTTTTGGAGAACATCCATAATATTGGCTGGAGACTCAGTTGACCTATGAAGCATGAGGAATACTTGTAACATTCGTCTTCTATTAGCATATTTGATGCTCACAGATGCTAACGTGACGAGCTTGTCATGGCACAAATTACTTTCGCTTATATGACAATTAAAAATGTTACAACGTGATAAAAGTATCCGATACAGTTAAAGGTTTTGTTTTCAATGAGAGCAACTTCAACCAGTGTCATGGAGCAAACAGTATGTTCCACTGCACATCAAAAGGAAACCATCTTACAGTTGAGAATTGCTGCAGTGCTGTCGGTACATGTGGTACTGCAGGACCAGCACACTTAGCTCTGCCTTCTGAGCACGAACGACGCAGTCGCATTGGTTTCGATGTGGATGATGCAGACTGGAGAAATGTGTCAATAAAGTTAAAATATCATCACGACAGTCCCCAAAAAAATCTGTTAGGATTTGATACCTCTCCTCTTTTTTCCGTGCCACTTCCTGGTCCACCATAAATTTGCTAAATTCCTGAAATATAAAAGGTATGTGGCTACTATTAATTTAATTCAAATCTTTTCAACTTTCGATCTGTTATTACTGCCGCCAAGCACGAAAAGAGCACAAAAGAAAGGGACATGATATATTCACAAAACATTGCAGTGGGGATTGGCATTAACAAATAAAAGTTTTGTGCAAAGCCAGATTAATGTGCAGATCAATGTGTTTATGCCATGATAAGATCTAAAGACATTTTTGGCTTCAATGAAAGCCTACGCTCATTCAGTCACATTCTAGTTTCATCCATCAGCAGGCTTTACAATGGGTGGTCATGTGAAAAACCCTGAAGAATGGGGGTGAGTCATGTTTTGTGTGTGTGTGTGTGTGTGTGTGTGTGTGTGTGTGTGTGTGTGTGTGTGTGTGTGTGTGTGAATTTTATTTACCTTAAGAAAATCATCCAGATCAGACATGTGCAAATCGGTAAGCACAGCCTTGTCGGCTTTGAGCAGCTCTTCAGTTTGGGTGAACAACGAGGAGTGCTTGGTGAATGGTGTGCTCACCATGATCTCACAAGAGGCAACACAAGGCACGGTGGAGGTGCACTTATCTGCAGTGCTGATCTTCTGCTCTACTACGCAAGTGTTGCTGCTGGATGCAGCTGCTTCACTGACAAATTGAGCCTCTCTGGCTAGTGCCGACTCCTGAACAGCAATGATTAGGCCGCTGTCTTCCTGAATGAGGCTGGCATGCCTTGAGTCACCTTTCATATTTTCGATACTGTGCTCTGGGGAAATCTCCTCTTTATTTCCCTCAGCGGATATCTGGAAGTGGCCTTCTTTAGGTGGAACTTGCAGACCAGTTTTCTTACTAGACTTAACTTCATCTCGTATCAAGCCGTAGAGCTTTGGCTGGAGCTCAATTTCGAACGGCTGCCATTCAGACCTGAAACGTAAAATAACGGGATGAATGTATGATGAGACTCGACATGCATCGCAGACATTCACAGCCTAGTCTCAAAATATTTTATCTTTGACCAATCTACGCCTGTCTCAGAATGCAAAGAGGCAACGGTGCACCTTTAAGATCATTTAGCTGTGAATTTTCAACAGCAGGTTGCTCGAGTGAGCTTAGATGTGGTTGCTACTTGCTCACTGGAAAGTCAAGGGGATACCTGGTTAACTTAGGCTATTTAAATAGTTGAATTTGAGGTAACATTTTTTTTTTTTTTGCACCAAGGTAAAACTATAGTACACTATAACTTAACGGTGCAAGCATCAGAAAATGCCGGAGAAAAGAACTCACCAAATTGAATTGTTCTGACATTAACCAACACATCATAGTCAAGTTAAAGCAGAGCCTTGCAACTCAAACTCTTCCAGAACACTGTTCAACATTCACTTTATATTCACCCGCTACATAAAAACAAAAGGAAATAAAATTCATACTGTTATTTTCAACCTTAACCTTGATGAAAGTTTTGAATATGAAGCACTTAGATGAGTACCACTCTCTGGGGACAATGAGTTCATTTCTTAAGTTCCACTGTTGTCATCCCTTATTCCTGTGGGAATGGGTATACAGTGCACATGTACAAAAAGCCACAAAAATCAACAAAAAAACAAAAACAGCAGTTCGTCCCAAGTGCCATCAGTATTGTGAAATATGAAGTGACCCTGAAATTCATAATAAGCAAACATTGAAGTGAATAAACAAAAATAGCCTCGAGTTGGCCCCCACTATGTTCATGACCTTACACTCTCAAATTCTCCCAGAATGCTGGAAAAAGGGCCCAGTGCATCATGTCACTAATGCAGTGATTTCCAACCTCTGTGCTGTGGCCCATTAATGTGACATGAGAGCTCTAACGGTATGTCGCGGGAAATCATCAAATTTCCCTTAATTGGTGAGAAAATTACTTTTGAATAACAAATAACGTATCTTTGCCCTTCTATCTATTCCAGCAACTTATTGTGGCAGAAACAACAAATAAATTGTCTTCTATTAGATGGCAAAAAGTATGAAATTGATATATGTGTCCTCTTTTTGTGACAATTTGGTTTGGTGCCGTGCCATGTGATTTTTTTCGAAGTTAAAATATGTGCCTTGGCTTAATGGAGGATGGGAATCACTGCACTAATGTGCCATGCTTACTGTAGCATGTATGTAATTTGTTAAAAAAAAAAAAAAAAAAAAAAAAAAAAGAAAAAGTCACTCCCATATTAAGCATTACTGGTGTTTGGTGAGAGTCTGCTCACTGTAAATTGATGTCATCAGCTGAATTGTTCCATCTGTCAGGTGCCGCAGACATCTGGCTATATGGTGGATGTTTTCCTTGCTGATGGCATCTACTTTGCTCCAAGTCCAGAGAGAAGTCAGGCAGACCCTGCGTGACACCACGAGCACTGGACTGTGCTCGAACTGATACCTGCTATGAAAATGCCAACTTGCACTAGTAGCTGTGAATAAGTATCTCCCCCGCCCTCTCAAATTCTAACTTTTTTGCATAGTTTCCCCCCTTGAAAATTTAGGATCATCAAACTGTAAAATAATTTTTTTTTCCTGAAACCACTTTTGTGCTCCAAATGACCTCTCAGGTGCTACTGAGTGTGGCACCGATCTAACGTCAAAATGTAGCCTCTGCCGACAGCTCGCAGAATGATGGGGTCTGCTTCCTGCTTTGTTTAGACGATATAATGAGCAGAATTTTCGATTGATACGATATAAATTGATATTGAATTATCACTCAGCACTACTTTCGAGACTGATACATGTCAGCTTATTTCTCATTTCTTCTTGAATTTTTTTTTTAGGCAATTTGTTACCGCTTTTTTAGATTTTTGGAGGGCAAACTTCATACAGGTGCCATTTCGGCTATTTTTTTAACTCAACAGGTCTGAAGGTAATCGGGCTCGTCAGTCTAAACTAATTTTGCTTTCTAAAAAAACTTGATTTGCTACAGTTACTTCATTACTCAACAAATTGGGCAATTATTTTTTTCACACAGAGTGTGATTATTTTGGCCGATACTTGAAGGGCCATCATTGGACGATTTAATTGGCTGGCCAATTAAACAGCCTTCAAAAATAAGCACCCCACAAAAAAAAAAAGTTTGAGAAGAGGGCAAATACTTTTTCACAGAATCATCTATTCACAACACAGGAAGTGTCAATCCAACTTTCTGCTTTTATCCATACTTGTCGCTCCCTTAGGTGAAATGTTGGTCTCTCCATTCGCGGTCTGTTGTAGATGGTTTGGAAGCCGTCTTCAACGTTGGCCATGCAGCCAGCAGGGCACGGCCACACTTTCTCTGTGAAATTTCCCTTGAACTCTTTAGGGGATGTTTGCAATAATACTTGCGGCTTTTCTAGCAACACACACACACACAGACACACACACACACAATTATTAATAATGAATTATTCTTAGTACAATTCCATTAATGGCTATGACTGTGTACCATGTATAATACTTTTTGAATAACCTTTGCAAAGGTGCCACAAAAAGTCGATGAAAAAGGAAACATGCACAAAATAAAGTAATGCTCGCTGCGCTGAACTGAGCTCTGTAATGACATTAACTATGCCAACAAATCTTTTTTTAGTTTTTTAAGAACTGCATGCAAAAAGACCTTTGAAAAAGTAAAGTAAACATGGCTGTGATTTTCACTAAAGTGGGCTATAGTGAGGTATGCCTCGATAATTTGGGGAATCAAAAATCTCCAAAATACCCAAGAGCAACCTAAATACGTAGAGTAAATCACCAATTTGCACTTAAGTGAGCTTGAGTGAGGTACACCGATTATGACAATGAGCCATTTGTTGACCAAAAAAAAGCTAATTTATGCAGTTTACTTTCATACTTTGATGCACATTGAGCAATGTGCTCAACTGGCCACATGACAGGCGGTTTTAAGCCTTGTGCAACTTTAGAAGCATATTCTGACTATTATCCTCAAATTTAAAACAGTGTGACCTCAGGAGCGTTTAACTTTTTTGGCTAGTACAACCGGAAGTATTAATCTTATGTATATTTCCAAATGGGCTCCTTGCTCCATGCCCGATATAAGTACCTATGATGAAAACAATGAGGTCAAATAAAATGCTGTAAACTAACTCCGGGCCTTATATGCAAGTAGTGTACTGCCTATACATTACGTTTGGCTTGCTGCTATTTCAGTTATCTGGAATGAAAGTGAAAAAAAAAAAGCAGTTCATGCACATGCTCCAACGGCAGGTGAACTTACGCATCAAACAAGCCTGTTGGAAGATCAGTTCTATTGCAGGGTGTCTTTGCATAAAATGGAAAAGATCTTCTTCATCTGTGAAAAACAAACATGGTTGTCAATTGCAGTGCATGTGAAAAATACATCAGTCATGTGCCACTAGATTAAGTACACCTGACACCTGCAGCATTCAGCCTTCAATTTCTAAAAAGGGACAGGCATAATATAATCAATTAACTTCGAAATTATGTTAAATGAGCAGAATTGATTGTGTTTGGAGATCATGGAGGTCAAATCGAATGTGCTACTCGAATGCAACCAGCAGAGGAGGCCCTCTTCAAGCAATTTGCTTTCTAAAGAAGCCCAACATTACCTCTTGATGGAAGTTGGGCTACCTCCACTAGCCTCCTCAACAATCACTTTTTTTTTTTTTTTTTTTTTAACAATGATGTGGAAACAAGTGTTCAAAACCAGGCTTTACGCGGTCAGGATTTTAGCGGTTGATCATTGATCAGTGAGTTTGAAAAAGAAAAGAAAAAAAAATCGATCAGAAGATATATCTAATTAAACAACTTGTATATTGACTCTACATTCGACCACCACCATAGCGAAAGTGTATCAGAAAAAAGAATTTAAACCCAAACAATTGTTGGAAAAAAAGTGCTGATAAACATTAAAAATAGCATGTAATGTTGACATGTGGGCATCACATTAGCCTCACAGTGCAGAAGTGCAGGGTTCGATTCCTGTTTCGGCCTTCCTGTGTGGAGTTTGCATGTTCTCCCCGTGCCTGCGTGGGTTTTCTCCGGGTACTACAGTTTCCTCCCATATTCCAAAAACATGCATGGCAGGTGAATGGAACACTCTAAATTGCTCCGAGGTGTGATTGTGAGCGCGAATGCTTGTCTATGTCTGTGTGCCCCGGGATTGGCTGTCAACCAGTTCAGGGTGTAACCCGCCTACTGCCCGGAGACACCTGGGTTAGGCTCCAGCATGCCCGCAACCCATGTGAGGATAAACGGATTAGAAAATAAGATAAGATAAGATAAGATAAGAAAACCTTTATTAGTCTCGCAATGGAGAAATTCCCAATTCACAGCAGCAAAGTTATGAATGGAAGTAGAACAACAAAATAAAGGAGCTGCTGGAAAGGCAGCCACTCACGCGGCGCCATCTTGAAGTCAAAATAACACAACACAACACATAGGACACAGACAGTCGTGCAATCTTCACCACTTTCCTGCATACACTTTGTTGTCTGAAGCAGTTATTCCAAGCCGCGACTCCCGGTTCCACATCCGCATCGGCGCTCTGCGCTAACGCTCCTTTCTTCTCATCGTCGGCTCCTCAAGCCTTGCATCCATCCAGCCGCAGACCGTTCAACAGCACCGATCTCTCCGCTGAACAAAGCAGGGCTGTGAAAATGCTGCCCATTACAGGCGCAAGACACAAGCGCCCCCGGAGCTGTCCAGCAACGACAGTCAAATGGCGCCGACATTCCTCCCGATCAAAAACAGTACTGGCATACCCATGCTGCCGAGAAGGCAAAACCACCAAGCACCGAGTCTCCTCCTTGATGAATGTCGTGGCCAAAAAATGCTGAAAACAGTCCACATCAGGTCCACACGACGTAACAACAAACACAAAGTGACAAAACAAACAGAAAAACAACAAAAAAAGCAAGGCTCATCAGAGCACTTGCAGATGGCTGCCTACTCGGGCGCCATCTTGGACTTCTTATGGATGGATGGATGGATGTTGACATTTTTACCAAATACTGTATCTCTGACATTAATGGGGAAAATGCATGAACATCACTAGTTATTCAGGTGGGTCTTTTTCTAAATCTATTGCTATCTTGGTTCAACAGCTGTAAACAAGTCCATATACAGTACTTACTTAGCAGCCACACCAAATAGTCTTCGCTTGCTCCTTTTTGGCTCGGATTGTAAACTGGGCTGGCTATGTTGTCCCGATGTCCACTTACCGAAATGATTATTTCATCCTACATCCTTTGCCTACTTTTTACCTGCCGTGTATGCGACATCGCAAACACATTCTCAAAGCTATTTAATTTGGCCCTAGTGTAGCTGTACAGATTTGGCTCAATCTACGTGAACTGTATTGACTTCATTTTATATGTAATTGCGTCATGGGCATAGTTCAACTCTCATATCCACCTTTAGCAAGGGTTTTGTGCAACTGTCAACAACAGAGCTATTTCCGTGTTTGTTCAAACAAATGTGCTGTCGGTGGTTCACTTTAAAGTACCTGCTACATTATTGCATTTTCTTAAAGTCCTCAAAAATAAAGCCCTCTTGGGAAAATGTTACATTTATGTTATATACCAATATTACAATATTAGTACCGGTATATAATAGATATCAAAAACTGGTTAAAACAGTCCTTTGAAAAATTCTTAATACAGTTCATAAACAGTAGTTCATACAATTCAAAAACAGAGAAGTTCAAATGATTTCACCGCCCAAAATAACCGGTTAACTCCCTCATTTAAACCCTGCTAACGTTTTTTTCCCCCCAAGAATCTCTATTCAGAATCATTCGGAACGCAAATCGTCGAAATTCATGTGATGCCCAACCCCTGGGGCACAGCTATATTTTGTCAGTGGTTTTCACTTCCCAGTTGCTGCATTTTACGGCGAAACTGAAATAATCTATAGCGGACACTGGAATGACACCAGTACTGCTTCCAATTTCCAGCTCTGCTCGTGCTCATTTTTTTAAAACTTTGTACCATGTCAGTGAGCTGCACTTTTGAAATTACATTTAGAATTGGAAGTGGGTGAACACGCTGTTGCGTTTCCCCATTACCAAATGAAGGATTTTTTGGGAGGGGGCAAATGTCTATCCGTAATATCAGTTGTTAATTTACCTTGTCTAAATATCCGCATGACTCTCAAATTATTCTCTGAGAATGGCCGCAATTGTACATCAACCACTGGAACAATTATTATTGAATTATCAAAATCTCGACATTTATATGTCATAATTGTTGATGCTGCCCTTGTAGTGGATAGCATTCTCAATGTGCAGGTGGACATGTGAAAATTGTGCAGCATACTGTACATCCTTTTAAAGGTCTTTATTGGTGCGCACAGTTAAATCTCCCCTTAAACTTGCAAACATGTTTAGACATGAAATGATAATTACCTTGTATGAGCTGTCTGTATTCAGGTGGCAAATTCAAGCGCCAGGCGGTTAACTTGGGGTCACGAAAAGCAATGTTCGGATGAGCCGCCACAAAATTATAGAGAGCGCTGGACGACAAAAGAAAAAATTATTTAGAGGACCAAAATATCAGCATTGTTTTCAATATTCATAAATGGTCGTACATCTGCAAAAAGAACTTTTTTGTATTTTCTGAAAACTCGTGGTACTCAGGATAAGTGGGCCTCAAGTCAGATTCTCCTGTAATAAACCACAAAACGATGTTCAAGTAAACGCTTCGTGATTTCAACGCTAAAACACTTTTTAAAGAACATATGAACTTTTTTATTGCATCAAATCCAACCAGAGACTTACGTCGATGCGTTGCATTAGCCTGTGCGTGATAAAATGGAGGCTCGGTTGAAAAATCACCCACGGGACTTAAAGTCGGCCAGTGAGGCGTCCCTCGGACGAGCAAAGTTAGCGGATAGCAAGGCCTAATCGGTTGAAAGTACGCCATTAACTCAATGTTACTCGAGGGATTAATTTGAACTATGAAAATTAAACGTCAGTGAAGTCGGAAAAAAAAGTCAGCAACGTCGTCTTGACTCATTCAAAATGAACGTCGGCTTCTTGCGAGTAAGCAGCTAGCTACGTCAGTGCCCCCCAAAAATCGCCACTTCTAAAAAAATCTATTAAAAAAAAAGTGCCGAATACGTCAAGCTTGCGACTATTAAGAAATTCCAAGCGATCAAATAAGCACCTGGAGTAAGCTTGCAAGAGTTACACCTGCTGTTGACTGTGAGGCGACGGCAGCTCGTGAATTGGCAAATCAATGCAGACCAGCACCTGCTTTTTGTTTGTTTGTTCCCCCTCCAGAATGTTCCGTCCAAACGATCATTCTATTCCTCAACCATTCAGATAAGCTATTTGGATTATTAACTGTGAAAGGAAAAATTAAATGGTCATGTAAAAAAAGCATATTCAATCATCTTATCAAAATTTTAATTGTAATGAATACTTGTTCACTATTACTCAGTTATTCATTTTAATCAACCATCAAAATACATTAACCACCGCCAGTGATGGATCAGTTCAATTTCTGGTTTAATACAGTTGTGCGGTAAGTTTACAACAACTGGCAGAATTTGTAAAATATTAGCAATTTCTATTTTGTGGAAAACCTTTTATTTAGGGATATTAGGCAGGTGTAGCTATTTGTTATCACATAATTGTGTGTACCATTTTAAATTGATGATGACAACGAAAGAGCGCTGATCAAAAATGTACATGTCATGTTTTCTTTCTTATCTTTTCTTCTTTCATTCTGCTAAGGTGTGTAAACTTAGAACGTCAACTTTAATCATTACCCATTAATTTGGTTACCAATTGTGAATTGTGTTCTTCAAATCTTATTTTAGATTAACAGTGCATGTCTATTATGTCTTTCCACATTAAACAAAAAAGACAAATAATATACTCAATTACCCTGTCAACGACTTGAAAACTGCAATTTTTTTTCCAAACACAAAAAAGCTGTGCCACCACAGCACCAAAAACATAGCAAAGTGTTATTATGTAACAATCTCCAAAAGACCATCACTTCAAATCTTTGGAAATGAGCACACAATTTTCTCATGAGGCTAAAATGGACTGTATGGCTTGATACATGAACGGTGTGTTTGTATTCTTTCTAGATTGTGTCTGATTTTAATGACTATGGTATGAGAGCTCCACCAGTGGGCGATGGTGGCCTTTGAAAACTAAATATGAAAACAAGTCAGTGGGCGGTATGTATTTGTGACAAACCAGTTATGTCACCGTTTGGAACTAAGGTTTGAGTGATGATGAGGGCCGTGTAAACATAAAGTGTGGAACAAATAATGTGAACATTGTTTTTGTGCCATTTGAAGAAGCAAATCCCACATTTCCCTCTAGACAAAGACCAGAAGGTGCACTCCGAATGGACTCTACAGTGGGAGGTGTGTGTTTTTTGCATTGATGCAGCCAGAGCCTGAAGATTCAGAACTAATACCGCATTAACGCTGTCGTTTCTCATATGTAGATCAATAATCCATGAAGAAGTGGCCTGCGGTCATGTGGCGTGATGTATGTCCACTTACGTGAAGGCCCAGTTCTGTGTGTCAAGTGCTCTGTAACAGCGTATATATTGATCTGGAGTCTTGTTTACAATGCGATTGTTTGATACGCTCCGAGCCATCCATCATCCTCTCGATGCTTTGGCAGCTGAACAACAGTTGGAATGGATCAAAAGTGTTCTACTCGGCCGGCGGGTTCATTGTGAGGTCCGCAATGGCGAAAGGAGAATGTGGAAGCCCATGAAAGCAAAGCACAGCGTTTACTTTTCGTCATGCTATGGATAGGATTTTGGCCTGTGTCCATAAAGCCCACACATTGCAGCCAAAATTATCAAAATTGAAGGTAAAATGCCCCCAAAAAGGCAAAAGTTGCACTACAGTGTTCCCCTGCTATATCGCGGTTCACCTTTAGTGTCCTCGACAATCTTTTATCATAGACGCTTACTATAGTAACATTGGATGTGGGAAATTACAGCCACAGTCACAGATGCACTTTTCAGCCATTTATTAAAGTCCGGGGGGAAAAGTAAAACAGAGAAGCAGAATGATGAGCATCCTGTTGTTGGCCACAGCTCACGCCAGATGTTCACGTGCAAAATTGTTCACGTCACATCCATCCCACCGGACGGCGCCTTTTAAAGGCACATGCATAAACGCAGACATTAAAATATGTACAGTATATTCTATACATTTGATGCTTGCAGCTTTTTTTACGTTTACAATGTGTTAAGAAAGTGGGTTTGAGTATTTTTAAATGGGTTTTAATTTTAACCAATGATACCATTCAACAAAGCAAAACAAAGATTAGCGCGTTGAATAGTCTTAATCCAATCCCAAATTCCTCTCTTCACTCTTTTACTACTAGCTACATTTTTAGCCCATTTTCATATGACCAATTGTAGCTCAGTGTACGACCAAATAACAGCAACCCCATTTGCATTGGCCACAGCTGCACTTTGGCTGCAACGATAATTGTGAAAGCATGAGAGCAAGCTACCAGACCTCCTAAACAAGTACTTCAAGCCCAAGAAGTTTCTTTTATGCGAACGACCAGTCACGTCAAATACTAACGACACAGACTTCAGCAACACAATCCCCCAATCGAACGGTGAATTACATTATTCAGAGATGAATGATATGGCAGGGGGGGGAAAAATAGCAATATCTATTTTTTAAATGTATTGCCATACAGATTACACATTTATTTGAAGCTATTGAAATGAAAAACCATCTACATATTTTGTCACATGATGTTTCTCAAGGGGAGTAGGGGATAATTAGTCCGAAAATGGATCTGAAAGAAAAGCATGTGACTCATAACAGCCAGGTCAGGCTTCCAGCAATAATGCGGGGGGGATGTTCTTAAGATCATAAAGAAATACACCAGCACAGCAAGCAGTGAAGCATAGAGTGTTTATTTGACCCAGTACACATGATAACAAACTCAACTGTGTAAGGAACACAATGTGAGAGGGGGCGGGGGCAACAGAAGCGTATCCAAGCGCGGCCTGTCCCTGTGCATCCCGTAATGTGGCATGAGCCGGAACTCTGGCCTTTTACACGCCTCATGAAAACATCTGGTCATACAGATCAGCCTGCAGTCAAAGTCTTCAAGAGATTTTATTGTTTTTTTTAAAAAATGCCATTGCCAGAACTACATAGGGGACACATTAAAAACAAACAAAAAAAAAATAACTGGACTGCAGGCTTATAGCAAAAATATATACTTTATATAAGTTTTAACGTTGCCCTCATTCCAAAAAAATAAAATACAGAAACATACAAATGTTCATCCAAACACACAAAAGTGTTGTGTCGGTGGATGCAGTCTTGGCTGTTTATATCATGCAAAGTCACCTTTATTGTCATCTCGTGGAAGGTGTCGAAAGATTTTTTTTTCTTTTAGTCTCCGCATGCAGTCCACGATGCTTCCTCCAAATGCGCACATCAGGAGTTGGTTGACCACAGCGGAGATGGCAATGTAAAAACAAACACACACGCACACAAAACAAGCAAAAAAGAGCAACTCGACCATTTATAAAAAGGTCTCTGCGGGAGAATTATGTTCTTGCATATGCATCCCTTTTTTTTTTTTTTTTTTTTAGACGAGTGCTAATTAGTTCTAAAATTGAACAATACAGCACAGACTTGTACCAAGGTTTGCAGTCTTCAAAGAGGGTGGTAGCAGATACAATCTCTTACACGGGTATGACAACTAAAGAACACATTTACACGAGAGAGGAGCCCAACCAACTAGCCTGTAATACTCGAAAGTCCAAAAAAATGGCAATAAAAAAAAAAAGTCATATCTACAGAAATGATCATAAAAGGTTGTTGGACAATCTATTTATGCAGTTCACAGCCCTTTCACTCATGTTTTAACTCAGGTGCAGAAGCATAAAAACAAGGAGCAGTTGGAATCTCTCAAACAGTACTGCACTTAGTCCTGTTACATTTTCGATTTCTCTTGATTGTACTGTATAGGAAAATCAGATTGTCACCCCCCCAAAAAAAAAAAAAAAAATCACAAAATCTGCTCTTTCGTCCCAGGTTCTTTGTGAAAAGTTGGAGGTCTTGAGACCTTGCATCTATTTCCACTCCAAAGGAAGGAGCTAGAGTTTCAGTTCACCGGTCTCACAACCCACTCCAGTTTGTCACACCTTTAACACTTGTCCATTGTTTGTGGCAGATCAACTTTTTTTCCTTAAATCAGCAAGCAAGGAGATCCACGACGGCCTTAGCGAGCCACTCTGCAGGTGCACCTCTGAATTTGAAAGCGTAAAGAGACTTGGGGGAGTGTTTTTTTTTTTTTTTTGCATTCTTGTGTGGTGGTTCAGTAGCTGCAACCGTCGGGGAAGGGCAAGCCAGCAACACAATGATCTGCGCTGTCCAATAGGTAGGGAGCGTTCTCCTCGTAGTGGGTGAGGGGCACTGTGTCATCGTCAAGGCCTGGCAGGCTGTCCGGGTCAGCTTTCAGGTTAGGCCTCTGGTTGTCGGGGAAGGCCATGGAGAAGAGGGCCTCGGGGTCGCACACAAACTTGTACACGTACCGCTCACCGGCCACCTGGGAACCAAAATTGAACAGAAAACATTTGACATCCATTTGAACGCAAATCCACACCGTGGACACGTGCCATTGTAAAGGATGGAAGGAAACAAAGGGGTAACGTGCCTTTACCTTCTGCATGATGCCCTTCTCGTAGTAGTAACGCAGAGAGCGACTCAGCTTGTCGTAGTTCATGGCTGGTCTGTTCTTCTGGATGCCCCAGCGGCGAGCCACCTTAAGAGGAGGCTCCGTAAGTTACAAACTCATCGGTAGTATCAAAAAATGGAGAAGCAGCTGCAGCCAAACCAATTACCTCCTCAGGCTCAATGAGCTTGAACTCCATTCCTCGACCTGTCCAGGCGATAAAGTGTCCGTTGGCCGGGTCGTCGAGCAAAGTGACAAGGAACTGCCAGAGTTGCAGGGAGCCGCGGCGCTGGTATGGGGGTCCGTCTCGGTAGATGGAGGGCTCCTGTTTCACTTTACCTGCATGGAGGAGAGGAGGAGGGAGAAAATTGAGACGGGGAGGGGGTGGGGTGGGGTGTTGAGGGTGACAATAAAGCAAGACGGTCAGTTCTGCACTTCACGGTCACAGTGTGGTGAGACATTCCTGCCACATGGCGAGTGTGAAGTCGACTCACTATTCATTGCACATCACGGAAGAGTGGAAGAATAAAAAAAAAAAAATGTCGAGCGATAAATCCTATCCCCCGCCAGCCCCCCCCCAAAAATCTCACCTTCTAATCTTTCAGGGACAACGCAGGTATCGTCAAAGTAGAGTTGAGTATCTCGCTCGAAGGAGAAGCCTGAAGTTGAAAGATTTATTATTAGTATATTGTGACAAGAAAACACACAGCAATCCAAAGCGCAGTTCATCGTGAGCATGGGCTATCCACTTCCCCTTGACCGGTCACTTAAAATGCCGCTGACCTCTACTCGTTCATGCGTGCTTGATCCCTCTACGGCTCAATAAGCCCCGCACGGCTTAGGCGATGGTAATACCTCACGGACGAAACACTTCAAACTCACGAGAAAAAGAAAAACAACAACTTACTTTCGCGGTTATTTTGGTAGTAGCTCCCCGCCGTCCCAAAGGATGAGTGACAGTTGGGCACCTCTGCAAAACAAAGACAGTGGGCGTATAATTTTAGACCAGAGACAACCCAGCCTTTAGTGTCATCTCCGATGTGCGCCACATCAAAATCCACCTCACAGCTGATAGATATATTTGGACTTTGCGTATAAAGATACACAGTTTTAAATAGCATCTTTGATTTGTGTGATTGGCTTCGTGTTGATAAATACCAGTTATGATGGATGGATCAGTTGCCGCTACCAGTTACATGAAGCCGCAACTTCAACTGCCACCCGCCTACGCTCGCATATCTCACAGTAGACTAAAAACCTAGATCCGGGTAGCACCGCGCAACCCATTCCAGCCCTCGCACGCCCACGAAGCCTTTAAACTGGATTAGTGATGTGGCTGCTGTGTTAAATCTCAATGATAATCAAGTTACAAGCGGCCGTCCCCCCTCTGGGGGTTTGGGGCCAGGCTTCCGCTTGTCTCGGCATACCAACCGCGATGCAATTGTTCATTTTTCTGTGTCCCATCAACTGATAAGATTGACAGAAATCAACCGTAAGCAAGACTGTACTCCACAGGAAGTTCGTGTAACAAAAGACAGACACACTGAATATCTGTTTTTACTTGGCCGTTTAAAGAAAAAAAACAAACAAAAAAAAAAAAAAAACTAGTACAGTCCCTGCCAATATTCCCAACATGGACGTCTTCTGCCCATCTCGAGATGATAGCCCGATGTGACGTAGGTGTTTAAAGGCCATAAGAAGCTAAGAGGATTTGTCATTACATCACTGCCAGGCCAGCCGGTCATCCACTGTGCAGAAAAGGAGAGTTTGTGACGTTGTTGGTTGTTTTTTTTTTTTTTTCCTCCAGCAAAGTTCGAGCGTTTCAGCAAAAGAGGATGTTGATGCTGCAGAGCGTAACAGCTGGGTGTGTGGGTGTTAGAAGGACAACAGTCAGGCGCTTGTTTGATTTATACCATGTGACCAAACAGTGAATCTCTTTCATCGAGACTCACAGGTTTCCCCGCCCACCCCAGAAGGTGGGCTGACAAATGTTTGGCTCCTTCGTGCACCATCAAGTGGAGACATTTTAAGGCTTTTTTTGAGCAACTCGTCGTATCTTGTGGGCCACAAAGTCCTCTGAGGACTCTGGCCTCGATCTATTCCAGGTAGGCTCAGTGAGGAGCTTTTTGCCACCTGGCTGGATGACCCATTTACTTTTTGCCCTTAGAGGCTTAGGCTGAGCTAAAAGACCCACTTTTACTTTACTGGCATGACTCGGAGGACTGATCAGATTAGACTCGGTGAAAAGTGCGAGTGTGAAAGGGAGTACCTGTGCACCCATGCCACCATTACATGCTAAAACTTGCATTCATGTGTCAGCAGTCTGAACAAACATGGCCAGGCACATTCCTAACCCCGAGCTAGCTGTGGACTACCTGGCTCAAAGGAAAAATTATGAAGCGTCGCTCACCGGTATCAAAGCAAAAATCACGGGGCTCCTGCTTGATGGCCATTGAGTGGAACGCAGCCTGGTGCGGCGGGCCTCCGCTGGGAACGCCCTGCTCGGCGTATCTCGGGTCAATGAGTTCTTGTTTGAAGCCATGCGGGGGCACGGCTACCAGGGGTTCGGACAGTTGCCGGTGGTACAGCGGCCGGCCCTCGTGCGGCCGACCGTTGATATTGGCCAGCTGGGGCAGGAAGTGGGGTCGCCCTTGACTCTCTGATGGGGGAAAAGGTAGCGATGGCTCTGACATCTGCCTCTGGAACCTAAAGAGAGTAGCAGAAAGTAACATTAATCATTTAATGAAAGGACGTCGTTACAGTCAGACGCACACTTTGAGAACGGACAATGTGTATTGTGCAATGTGCAAGGACAAAACAAGCAGCGACGGGCAACCCCTGACAGGTTCCACAGTGATCAGATGTATTGGAACTGACTTTGTGTTTGCCAAGAGTGGGAAATTTGCATTACCGCTAACAAAAAGACTTATAGTAAGTGAAACAACAACATGTGAGGAGCCAAGGTCTGATATTCGGTCGATTCGAAGATTATTGGCACTGCTCAGACCTACTTACCGGTGCTCCGGTGTAAAGTTATTGGCATCCTGGCCGATTAGCGCACACGGCACGGCGAATGGCGGGCTGTGGACCGAGAGCGTCGGCTGGTTTTGCGGGCCTGCACTCTGCGTGAGGGGCTGTTGCTGCTGTGGGACATGTAGCGGCCGTGCTCCGGGGTTCAGGTTGGCTACACTGGTACGAGGGGGTGGTGTAGGCTCGTTATGGGGCCTCGCTCCAGCAGCGCTCGTGGACCCACACGGAGACACTGGCGTGGAGGGAGGGGTTAAGGGTTTGAAGCCAGAAGTGGACTGTCTGTCGCAGGCACTGAGGTCAAAAGGGAAGCGTCAATTAGAGAGGGATTGCTATTATTCTTTCTTCAAATATCTTTGGTCTTCTTGTACCTGTAGCTGTAAAGGCACTTCTCTGCGTAGGGAATGGGACTCCTGTCCTGGTGGCACGGGGACAGCTCTTTGGAGGGAGTCAGCTCGCGTTTGATCTTGGTCGCCGGCGGTCCATGAAACATCACTGGACAGCAGAGAGACGACAAAAACGACCACGTCAGATAAAGGCCAGATACCACCAACGTAATTGAAGTCATAAGCAGAAGCGCAACAGTTTCTTTTAATCTTATTTAGCACATCATATGGACAATACTTGTAAGTATTGCCGCATCTGTCCAGACCCACTCAGCAGTTATTTATCCATACATGCCCTACTGTTTGTGTAGCCGCACTAGATGCATCAAACCCATCAAATTTCACATTTGAGTCCCATTAGGACACACTCAATCCCAATACCCATGAATCAGTGTGGCTGCAATCTAATGGCGGTGAATGATTTTCTTCCCTGGCTGCTGCTGTAACCATTAGACCAGAGACGCATACCGGCTGCAGTTACCAGGGCGCCGCATAATGGCCTGGAAGAAACTAGATCCCGGAGAGGAGAGGGCGTCAGATGACGAGGGCGTTGATGGACTGCGGCCAAGCAAACAACGAACGCGCGGTCCCATGTGTGTGTGCACACTCGGAAGTCTAATGGCGGGGGAAAGATTTTCTTTTGCACTCAAACGGCGCAAAATGGTTGACGCTACTATGCTATACCTTTTTCTGCACTAATTACATTGTGTATGGAGCAGTCCATCTGTCACATTTGTCATTCTACCGACTGCAAGTCAACTTATGGTAGTGCAAGGAAAAGGCGGCAATCTAATGGCGGTGAATGATTTTCTTCCCTGGCTGCTGCTGTAACCATTAGACCAGAGACGCATACCGGCTGCAGTTACCAGGGCGCCGCATAATGGCCTGGAAGAAACTAGATCCCGGAGAGGAGAGGGCGTCAGATGACGAGGGCGTTGATGGACTGCGGCCAAGCAAACAACGAACGCGCGGTCCCATGTGTGTGTGCACACTCGGAAGTCTAATGGCGGGGGAAAGATTTTCTTTTGCACTCAAACGGCGCAAAATGGTTGACGCTACTATGCTATACCTTTTTCTGCACTAATTACATTGTGTATGGAGCAGTCCATCTGTCACATTTGTCATTCTACCGACTGCAAGTCAACTTATGGTAGTGCAAGGAAAAGTGTCTTCTCTGAACTGGCACTTGCATCCTATGCTTTCGCCATCTGCTGCTCCTCGGACACGGGTTCAAGTGCCTACCCCTTGTTCAAAGTGTATAGGTAAGAGTAAGAGGAATAAATTATTCAGAGGGGGGTCTACAGGGTTGAGAACTTTTGGCATTTCTTCGATATCAACTCTGTGATTCACCACTGCAGTCTCATTGTCATCGCCTATCTCGCAATTTGGCCTTGAATAGGTGCGAGAGAGAATGCCTGCAGCCTGGCAACGGCAGCTACCGTCAGCAGCTCATCTCACACTCGCACAGAAGCAACAGTGCAAACTGTCTTTACTAACACGACTACGAATGTTCCCACGCTACACTTCTGATTCCAGCATCGTGCCACAAGGCTGCTCAGCGGCCCCGTTTCCCCAGTTGACAAAAGTGAGCCCCGGCCGCAAACAGCAGGACACCTTTCAGGACAGGGGTGCACACACGTACACACAAACAAAGAAGTTTGGAAAGCAGGGTGGAGATGGCAAGCAACCGCCCTATCCACTGGAATCTGGTCCGCTCCGGCAGCGAGGCCCGAGTGCGGGAAAGTGTGAAATCAGATTAGGAGCTTGGCTCATGTGATGCCCCATGCCAATCGGCTGATTAAACTCAAAATGGTTGAGAGGGAGAGGCGGACAAGAGAGCGCACACAAGCCCAAAGCGGACTTCTGAGGACAAAGGATGACGTTTGTCCTTGATGGGATTAAGATATTTTAATAAACAATGGGTGACCCAGACTTTGGGTCAAGTAAATTTTGTGGCAAATACTGTATCCTGATGCTCCACTCAAAGCAACAAAGTAGCAGGTCTGGGGACTTGAAGTGGCAATGCTTAAAACATCCCAATTAAGAGGCAGTATAGGCAGCGTCGGGGGACATGGGCAACAACCATATGAAGGAGTACTCACAGCTATCCGACTGGAAGTCTGGGACGAACTGCTCGTCATCTGGCACCTGGGCTGTGAGAAGAAAGAGGCAAAAAGTTAAAACATGTCAGAAATGACCATGAACGGACAAGTTGGACAAACTCAAAATGCAACCAATCGCCATCTATTAACAAAAAAAACTTTCTGAGTCAGCAGGTTGTCGCGGGCAGGACTTTGGCCGCCTTCCCCTTGTTGCAAAACACCAAAACGTAGAATGAGTTCACACTCAAGTTAATGTTCCACCCCAAAACTTCAAACTCAGCATTTGTCCAGAAACGAAACACCGGAACAACAAAGGTTCCCGGATCATAAAGCAAGTCAAACTCACCTTCTGCGATCCAGATATCCTGAAGCTGACTGAGATCTTGGAAGAGTTCTGTCCATCAGATGACAAAGATATTAGTATTATTCTCTTGATTGATTGTAGGATTGATTGCAACCTAAGCCACACACCTTCTGTGTCCTGGGCGAGCTCAGTGTCCACAAACTTCCTCTTCCTGTCACTGAAGACCCTGCTGTGCTCCTCGACACGAGACTGTTATGGGGAGCACAAGGGGGAAAGCGCACTTTAACGGCAGTCCGATGACATCAAAGTACAGGCGGAACTGCCGGCCAAATGATGGACTGTGGGTTGTCCCACGTACGATGCTTGTGACGTGTGCCACTTACATTGGGCGGGACCATGAACGGGACCTGCTGGTCGTAGAAGCCGTCCATGTTCAGTTTCTGGTTTCCTGGGGATGGGGAGGGAAGGGGGGTTGTGTTGAAGAAACGGTGCTTTGTGGGTCACTGGAAAACAAAAGCGACACAAACATCATGTACCGTCCGCCGTGATTGCCATGCTGCCACAAACAGGCGGGTTTTTGAGATTTGAGCTGTGCCAGGCGAGTGGAAGTCGCACAACGTAAACACGCATAATGCAGTTACATAAGCCGGACTCATTGACTGAGATGGCAAAAGCTCTCCTGTATAATCAGCTCGCATATCTTGAGCAAAAGATCCTGAAATGTTCTCGTTGGTCCAGGATCGAAGGAGGCCAGCCCTTGAACTAAACATCACCATTTCTGTTATGAATTAAGAGTCAGTAACGACACATAAAAAGTTGTATTTGTAAAACAATAGGCAGCAGCCGGCAGTGGCCTCCATTCTTATATCTCTCTGTGGGCCCACAGATATGACTCACTCCGCTATCTCTCGTTAATGGATGACGAATAAAGCGTAGCTGAAGGCAATTACTGCAGACGCCAAGCAGATAGCACTTAGAACATGAGTGTGTGTTCGTGTGGCGCCATGTTCAGTCGCACAAGTCACATTTTGACAGTTTATAAAGCGCACCGATATATATACAGCGATATATACCAGAAACCAGGTGTATACTTCACTTGCAGCTGGAATTATTTTCAAATACTACAACTAAAGTGTGTTTTTCAAATGTTGCAGTAGAAGCAAATGATATCATACGACTGAGAATGAAAAACAAAACAAAAACATTTCCTGAACGCAACATGGCCGAGAATTAAAAACAAGTGGTCGTGAAAGCGGCGGTGGTTCTAGGCTCAAATTATGCAACACAAACTTTTGTTAACTTTTCGGCTTCGAGACTACAGGGTGGTGGGGTTGTCACCCAACACCCCCTTTTACTCCTCTCCGCCCTTCCCCCACCCTTCGTCACCTTGTTTTTCTCAATGAAGTGAAACTTGATACTCGATGCGTGTGGAAACGCACAGGAGGAGGGGAACCACTGGCTCCTTCATTCATACAAAAAAAAAACAAAAAAAAAAACGAAGACGAAATCACAAAAAATCCGCTAAGACAAAACAATCAAACCAACACAGTATAAGCATGCTTTTATTGTAAAATGGCGATTCATTTATTCGTGACGCATGTAAAAAAGTGCTAGTGGAAAGTAAAAATGTTTTGCTAAAATGGCGTTGCGCTCTTTCGCCTCAAACGTTTTGCGAAAAATAACTTGCTCGCTGTGCAGAAAAGTAGACATGAAGCTTACCTCGACTGTGTTTGTCTGGTTCCTCTCTAGCAAGGGAATGCGGTGGATATGTCCACAAAATGGAGAGAAAAGAAAGACGAACGAGTGTCGCTAGCGGTGTTACCGCACGCTCGGATTGATGTAACTGTCTCCACTAACAAAACTTGACTGAGCTCTTCGTTCATGGATCCACTTGCTTTTCCCTTGGGCTTGAGCGCACCGCAGAGACGCACACTGATTGGCCAAAGGGAGGTGTCTGTTAACCAACGCAACCAATCAGGGCGCGATTGCTCATGAATTATGCACGCCCTACCGTTCGGCCAATCGGAGCGCGGCACTGACCTATTTTTATGAATGGCTGGATTTCATTGACTTTTTTTTTCCCCCACTCAACTGTCGACGGCAGAGTCGATTTAAAGGACCAGCGTCAGCGGAAATGTACCGAAGAGGAGCAGAGTACAGTACTTCACATACACTATTTTGAATGAGGTTACTTCATTTACTGCATTCATCTCAGGATGCTACATTAGTAAACAAATACTGTAGTACTATTTGTATGCCACATATAGTTGATTATAGAACTGTATCACAATTTCATTCTTTGTTCAAGGTAAATACCATCTATTTCTCCAAATCAAATTGCAAAATAATCAATCATTGACCAGAGTTACTTTGTAGGATTAAAACCAAGGATGCAAGACTCATGCAAGTTAGCTGTCCAAGCATATGCCTGTGTGTTTGCATGCATATGTATGTGTATTGATAAAAGATGTGAGTATTTAAACGGCTAGAACCACAGAAAGGTTAGAGGTCATGAAAAAATATAAAATTGTCATATCGCCCTTCTGACACCAAATTAGGACACCCCCCCCAACCTACACCCCATACACTCTCAAAATCATCTCTCTCTTCAATCTATCCCTACAGTTGGCATAAGCAATAATCCGTCAAATCCCTGCAGCCACGATGCACAGATTATGGAACTGTGCCACGATCGATAATAGTAGATCATGATTCAAGCACCTTTCACACTGCCTGGCACAGCTGCCATTTTCTCACATTTTTTTCTACATTGCTGTTCTGCATAAACAGAGTGGGTGACAAAACTGAGACAAACACAAACTCCTCCTCCATGATAAGGTTTCGGCTCAGGAAGGATGTGTTTAACTGTCAGTTTTACAGTAAACTTCAAATGTGAGTGAAAAATAAACAGCTTGAAGCAAGCCAGTTTTGCATCTCGTTTCGAGAACTGCAAGCAAGAGGGACAACAGTTGTTTTGGAATACTTGTTTGAATGTATTGTTATGTTCAAGAGTGTTTCAAGAAGTTGAAATGTGTTTATAAAACATGTTGGAGGGGAATCTATCCATCTATCTTACAGCTCAAGTAAAAAAACAAACAAAAAAACACTCGACTTTTCTTTAAAGTTTGGATTCAGTGTCTACCACATACTACTAATCATAACATAGGGTCAACTAATCCTACTATGTCCATGTTTCTATATGTCCATGTTTCTATCTATCTATCTATCTATCTATCTATCTATCTATCTATCTATCTATCTATCTATCTATCTATCTATCTATCTATCTATCTATCTATCTATCTATCTATCTATCTATCTATCTATCTATCTATCTATCTATCTATCTATCTATCTATCTATCTATCTAGGTATACATTACTTTAGTGTTATAAAACATTGTTATTTAAATCATTTGTGTACAGATAAACTCGCCATGCTGTACGGTGTCGAGGCCTCTCAAGATAGTGCTTCACTTGCTAACTGCTAACAAAGAGACGCGATTGTTTTCAACACATTGCTCAACAGACATTGTGCCCGGGTTTCAAGTGTCGTGATTATCACCTGAACCCGTATGCAAGACTGACGAAAAATCTTCTGTGATATTCCATCCATGTATAACATTTGTATTTCTACATTATTACCAGATTAACGTTGAACGGCAATACGACCTAAAACTTACATGGGTATGCAAACAGCATACTACTGCTAGTGAAGCGATTAGAGCAACCTTAAACTGCAAAATTATTCCCAATTATTGTGAACACAAAGCAGACTGAGCGACTATTTTGCCTGTGTTATCTCACTCACTCACTCGACCGTGTGCCCTCGACCGCTCGTCCTCTAGCATGGATGCCTTAGCACACGGCGTACAAACGTGACATCTGAGTAGGAGGGTCTATTCAGGGCCAGGGATGCAAAGTTGAACACCTAATACTCGTTGAAGTCAATTGTCGCTTTCAAATACCTCGCACCATACACTGACATAATTATCCACATAATGCCGTGTTGCTGTGTGAAATTGCACTCTACCCCACTTCCCTGGATAAATGCTGGCTCTTCTGTTATGGCGCTGATGCGGCATCACGTTCGGTCATGCCTCAGGTCAGCGGCTTGTCTTTCAACAAGATGAAGATTTGTGCTTGTGTAGGTGAGAGTGTGGCCAAAAATAGCAGCTGTCAAATTCAATTGTACGCATGCTAAGCGTGAAATAGCAGAGGACGTGTTTGCTCGCAGAAGCCCGCGGGGCCGCTGGCGCACCTTTTTTTCGGCGTGGATATGGTGGGTGCTTGTTGGGAGGCATTCAGAGGGCGCGCGCATTGTGTTGCTCTGGCTTAAAATAAATGCAGCATACAGTGTATGCAGACTGCGCATTTTGCCGTGAGGTCAGGATGACTTCCTCATCCCTCGAAAGGCCAACTAGTGCTAGTGTAGGTCAGTGTGACGTGTGTGTAATTTACCTACGAGTAATTTGGGCTAATCCTTGTCTTTACTTAGCCCAAGAACACTCACCTCAGAACATTCGTTCTTCATATGCATTGAAATAAATGCAAAGAAATAACAGCACATCATCATAGCATGCGCTAAAATAATACGTACTTCATATGCTGCCGTGAGCAATACAAATCATAAAGTTTTGGTTTCAAATGAAAAGCATTTATAAGTGTTCGTGGCATTTTTTTTGTCGCAAAATTTCAGTGAGTTAATTCGGTCTTTCTGATAAACAAAGTCATTGTCCAAGGAAATGCATGCATGTCCAGCATTCAAAATATGAAACATTATATGAATGCATTTTGTTTTCAGGAATTAAAACAAATATTGGGGCCTCCATTTTTTTCATGTACTTATATATTTTTTTTTAAGTGCAGCCTTTGGGCGCTGCATATTCCCTGAGTGAGGGACAAGATTTGGCATGATGGCTATTAATAGCACGTCGCCAGATAATTCCTGCCTTGTTATCTATGCAGCCATGCTCAAGAAGCCTCGCCAAAGGCACACTTTTCTTCTCAACTGTCTAAGCCACACTTTCCCTTTATGGTTTCCATATTTGCTGACCTACATGTTCTTGGACTATTTCTGTCCCTTTTTTTTTTTTTGGTCACGTTGGAGTGATTCTCCAAGAAGCCACTTTATCACAGAAGAGCATGCAAAAGAACTTAGTTTAAACCGTTAAATGGTTTCTGCCGTGCGGCCTTTCACATTAGCTGAAGTTAGCATGCTAATTATGACCGTTCCAAAATATGCTTGTGGGGAGGAAAAATGTCCTGTTGATCGTGCTAGAGAAAAATTCAACAAAGCGATTTGGATGACTGCTTATTAGTAATAAGGAGCAAATAGTTTCAAGAAAAAGAACGCAAACACTTTTTGAAAGATTTGGAAATGCAAAATGTGATCCTATCTTCAGCTAAGCCTTAACAAGAAAAAAATACACTATATAAAAATGATAATATGTTGACATGTTTTTATTTGACAAATAAGTGCAGCGTGGAAAAAGTATCTGAACGTCTAGACCACACGTGTCAAACCCAAGGCCCAGGGGCCAGACTTGTCCCGCCACATCATTTTATGTGGCCCACGAAAGCAAAGCAAACATGTCAACTTCCATGATGCTTGCTAAAATCTCTACCAAAATTTAAAATTCTCATATGTCATAAAATAGAGACATATTGGAAGCATTTTCTTGTAGCCAAACCCCTCATTGCTGTTTGTCAAAAAATTAATCTCTACCAAAATTTAAAATTCTCATATGTCATAGAGACATATTTATTGTAAGCATTTTCTTGTAACCAAACCCCTCATTGCTGTTTGTCAAAACATGCTTGAGAGGATTGTCACAAACGACATCAGAAACAGTGATGCAGCTCACGCATGACAAAAAAACAAACAAACAACCACCCCCCCCCCCACATTGCTCTGAAATGTCTTGTGTCTTCAAGTAACGCCCAATCTTTTGACTTTATCCAGTCAAGTAATGTGAACGGAGTTACTCTTTTAACATCATAAATTGCTGCTTTGTGGATAATATTCGATTCTACGTAAAAGCAACACCAGGCGGTGCAATATTCTGGTTTGGAATTTTACTAATTAAACTTTTATTATTTATTGCTGGCTGCTGGGCCCCCAGAAACCAATTTGGATCCAAGCATAGAAGTGTTTATTTTATTGGAATAACAAATGAACACCTTGAATCCTTAATCTACGAATGTTCATTAATTCTTAGATACGAGAGATTGCCTAGAAATGGAGAAAGTTCTGCACTATTGCTTCTCTCCCTTTGAGTGGCCGTCCTGTAAAGATGACTAGAAAAGCACAGCGGAGATTCCTCCATTAGGTGGAGAAAAATCCTCGTGATATATTGACAATTCTAAGAAAAGTAAAATATAAAACAAGAATGAATGCCATTGGAGGGCAGCTACATGTTTTTAAATCAAGACAAACAGTATTATGTTGTATCTCCCCTCTCCAAAATCTTTTACGTGGTTTGACTGGTAGCTTAGGAATATTTTTCGACAACTGCGTTTTTTTCATCGTCACAATATTTCTAAGACATGGGCCATTTTAAAAATCCCCGAGTGACACACACCATGAATTTGTTACATCTCGTCTTGACCATCGTAACGTTCTGCTTTCTGGTCATCTAGTATAAACGTTTGCAGTCAGTACAAAATTCTGCAGCAAGACTCTAGACTTGGACTACAAAGTTTGATCATATTGCCCCTATGATGGCCAACTGTTAAAAATATTACATGGCACCTTCCTAATTTGTTAACTGGTACCTTAAATTCAATCCCAAGCATCCTCTAATCAACCTCCAGACCGGTGTAAAAATATTTAATTTCAGACATATTTCTTAAAAACCACACCAAGTATGAAGTAGTCTCTTGCCCTTCCTGGTCCCCTGGCATCTGGATTTTGGCCTGTTTTGCTTCCGCTTCTTCTCCCCTCACCCGCATCATATTAACATTCACCTTGACTTTCATTCAGATCTCTGTGATCAAAATTAGCGGTGTTACCCACTGATCCATCCAGCTGCCACCAATGTTTTCTAAAAAAGAAAAAAAAAAACGTTATGTTGAATTTACTCAGTACACAACAACCACTCTGTCCAAAATAGCGTCGAGCTTCAGTTTTTCAGCCTGTCCAAATCCAGTCTTCAACTCAATCTGCTGGGTCAAATTAATTAACCCAACCTAGGGAAAAAGGAACACAATCTGCTCCAGATCCACAGTTATTCAGTGGGTAGGTTAGCAAAACAACCCAGCATTTTTTTTTAATGTTAACAGAAACAACTTGATTAAATCACCAGATGGGATTTTTTTTAACCACAAATGTTGGTAACTTCATCAGAACAATCTAAAATAATAACACAGTTACAATTTTTTCATCGGTTTAGTTGGTAAAATATTGCAAGGCCAGCAGCCAACACAGAAAGCTACGCTATTGATTTCATGGAATGTTGGGGGTGGAATGTGGCGGAGGGCTCGCCCCCGCCCTTGACCCTCAATCATGTCAAAACAGAGGGCATGTTTGATCAAATCACATTATCTGATTAGCGATCAATTTGTGGTGTTATCAACTAGCACATACTCATTCTATTGTACACAGGTTGGTACAGTCTTTCAAAATACATCACTTAATGCCCCTAAACAACCCTCGTCGCCCACCGCTTTCATGCCAATGAGTCATACCTCAGTGACGTAACTCGAATTTATACATAAGTTGGAATGCGCCATTGCCCCACTACTTAAGTCATAACTGTCGTACATATTTCTGGAGAATATAATTCTAGGCCATAAATATTTAAACAATCTAACAGGAAGTACTGCCATTACTTGAGTATGCCGTCTTGAGTCACATGATGACATTCTTAGTATATATATATATATA